GACACCAAATTAAAACTGTTTCCTTGCATTTTACCACCAGTAGAGATCTACATATTGACTTCTTTTTCCCCTGCCACATGACCTAATACTTTCCTAACAAAGCCCTCGGAGGCCTGGGGTGGAAGGTAGGCACAATTCCCATGAAGAAAACGTCTCTTCTGGAAGAAGGGCCCCACAGGTACCACTGGCAGCCCACGTTTATCGGGAGTGAACAATGGGAACATATGAGTCAGGAGCTGGGCACCTGCTGATTGAAAAGGGTGTGGACCCTACGGATCAGGGTCGGGTCCGACTCTGTAAACTTCACAGCAGAGAAATGATTGGGCCTCGTCCTGGCTTCCAACCTGGGCGGTGCATGACGATGTGGTCACAACCACCAGATGGGCTTCTCCGAAGATATTTCTGTTCCCGTGCCCTAAGAGGATGCCTGAAATTGCAAAAGGGCTCCTCACAAACACGGTCTCGCCGCTGCTGCTTTGCACAGCACACAGCATCCCCAGCTCCTTGCCCACCACCTTCCTCCTGGTCTTCCAACCCTGACATCCAGAGTGCTTCGTTTTTCCCAGAGCTTCCTTTCCTTCCAGGAGTTCAGCTGACTGCAGAGTCCTATTTTCCCTGAGCAAGGGAAGAGACGCCTTCAATCATCTGGCAGGAAGATGATAGCATCTGCTTGGGGATTCCAAGGAGATGTTTTACTGCAGCTTTTCACAAACTGATTATATTTAAAGCTCCCTTGGGGAGTGGGGGCTGGGAGGAAAGAAGCTTCGGAGAAGACCTTTGTTGGCATGAGTGAAGAACCGCTCAGACCTCCCAGGGGAACAAGTTTGTTTAAATACCAGCAATCCACATTCCCAAGTGTTTGTGCACACACAATATGTGTGGAGTTTTAAATTTCATCTCCTGCTCAAAAAGGGTCCTAAAGGGTTAAACTGTTCCAGGCAAAGGCCTGAGGCTTTTCTATCAAAATGCTCCAGATGGAAATTACAGAATTTCACTTCTCAGCTCTGTGCTGCACACATACCGCCCTTCTAAGACATTTAAAAAAAAAAAAAAAAAGGACAAGACCCCCAATGTTCTCAAGAAAGAAAATTTGACTGCCCAGCACAGTGCCACTCTGTTTCATAGGATTCCTTCTGGAATATTTGCATTAACTGTCAATCTCAAGCTTTCTGGGGCACTAGAAAAACTCAAGGTATGGCGAGGGTAAAGGAAAGGGGGTCCTGAGTAAGGAGAGGGCGACAGCTAGCCAGGAAACTATACAGTGATGTGAAGCCACCCAGATTATCACCTCCAGTAACCAGGCCTTGCACTCCACCACCTTGTGCTGCTCCAGTCTTGAAAGAAGCTCACAGGCAACCGGCCAAAAGGCCTCAGGTTATGACCATGAACCTGACCAGGGCTGGCAAGACTTTCCAGAGATTCATGTATATGAAAGCGTTTCATTAATTGGAAAGAGCCATGTAAAAGCATTAAGAATATTATTGCTTTCGAGTCAGACATTGAGAGGCATGAACTTTAAAAGGAATCTGAACACCCACAAACCAGAAACAATGATGGTTTTGAAGAAGGCGGCTACAGGGCAGGCGGACTAAGGAGGCACGCCCCTCATAAACGCACGCTGGGGGAGGGCTGGGGCTGGGGCCTCAGAAGCCCTTCGGGGCACATGCAAGCAGGTGGCATCAAGGGAGGCAAAAGCCACAGGTTAGACACGGTACCGCAGAGTCCACTTCGAGTCCACTGGATTCAAACCATCTCTGACCGAAAAAGGCAAAACCCACGACGCTGGTCAGAGAATACAAAACAGCTGCCAACAATTAGACAGTTTACCTATTCATTTTACAAAAAGGGAAACTGAGGTCTACAGGGTTTAAGATACCTTTCACCACTACTGGAGGAACCGAAACTAGAACTCAAGTTTCATTCCCAGACTTGTGCCCCATCGTGGAACAGCTGGTGCCTTGGGGATGAATGGGCAGTGTGGCCTTATGGTTAGCCCAATGCAGCAGGAAGCCAGGCCCACTAAGAGGGGAGCAGACTGCACTACGGGTGAGCACACATACCACACCAAATGATTTTCATATATGCTCTCACTGACTCCTCACAACTGCTCAGGAAATGCACAGTATTTTCCCTACTTTCCACCTAGGAAACTAAGGCTCGGATAAGTCACGGAATTTGCCCAAGGGGCAAGGTGAGCAAGTGACTGAACTGAGATTTGAAAGCTGGGTCCCTTCAACTCAAAAACCTGTGCTCTTCACCACCAGACCAAAAGGGCAGTTTTTCTTTTTATCTTGGCATCTGTGAGAGAGGACCAGCAGCAGTACCAGTCCCATGTAACACATAAAAACCTGAAACTCGGAATTCTGACCGACGGCTTCTACCTAGCAGGGGAGCAGAGCCAACCTAGAACCCGGGTCCTTTGTCTCCAATCTCGATGCTCTTCCACGAAGAACCTGGGTTCTAGAACATAAGCTCTGTAAGAGAGGGGTCTTTGTCTTGTCCACTGCTCTGTCGCCAGCCCCTAGAACACACAGAAGGCACTAAATAAAGGGCTGACGAATAAGGGAATGGAGTCGAGCTGCCCGGGTTTGGCTGTGTGACCTTGGGAAGGCTTCTCACCCTCTCTAAGCCTGTTTCTTCATGCAGTGAATGCGGGGTAAAATAATATCTACCTTCCTGGTTGATGTGAGAATTAAAGACAACTCATATAAAGCACTCGGGACAGGCTGCAACATCATGAGCACCCAAACTGTCACCCATTATTATTATTACTACTGCTATTATTCATTGAAAAATTTGGGCTTCTTACGGATTTCTTGTTTCCTATTCTGGTCAGATGATGTTTCATGGTAAGTAGGAATAGAATAAACCAGAGAATTGGAAGTCGGTAACCTCCTTCTCATTCCAACTACCACCACCTAGTTGTGTGACCTTGGACAAGCCTCTTAATTTCTCTGTACTCTCCTCTACTAAATCATTTAAATCAGTTTTTTATCAGGCACCTTCTCTGAGTAAGACATCATGCTCGGCCACCTATAAAATTCTATGATCCTGAAGATTGTCAGTGAAAATATCAGAGCAAAGCAAAACAGTCCCCTTCTTGCGGCAAGGTTGAAGAGAAACCCCAAATAGCCAACTGCATTACATCATCTCAATGAGCAATGTTTGTAAATACACAAGTGTTCAATTCTGAGACACTCGTGAGAAATCTTTCACCAATAGGAATCAGCAGACAAGGTTCTATTAACACCTATCAGCCCTGAACCTTCCAAAAAATAAACATGTAAAATCACTTTGCACCTTAGTCGAATGGTATGCTTCTGGAGAGAAATCTGGGAAAGTCAAAGTTATTAACACTCCCTATGGCAACAGTTAAGAATAGGATATGTAAAAAAAATAGAGTGACATATCTGGTTAAAATGGCAAGGGGGATTCCAGGAGCAGAATACAGTGCATCTGGACAGGACACAGGCCAGTGGCCTATTGTTTACAAAAACAGGCCCAGATTATGAACAGTGACAAGAGGCCAAGACCTCAATTATAACTCACAACCACACCTCTCCCAATCCCTGTTCAACTGAAGCTATCAATCAATCAACTCCCCCATCTCTGTAATAAACCCACCAATATTTGCAGCCAAGTGGAGAAAAGGTCCCTCAGGGCACCTCCAGCATTGACCAAGCTGATGACATTAAAAAGATCCTACAGGCAAAATGGGGACTTCAAACTGCATTCCAACCTTCCAAGAGATAAGGCAGCTGCCCATTTCAAGCTCTACACTATCCCCACCCCGGGCGATCATTAGAAGGGAGACATGGCCCTTCCCAAGTCCTCTATGATAGGAAAAGGTCTCCTTGCATTGGTGCAGGGAAAGAAGGAGGGGCCCCTCCCTCTGTAGTCTGAAACAAAGGAAAACCCAGAGCTCCAACCATGTGGTGTAACATTCAAGGCCACCCACCTCTCCCACTCCCCAGCTTAAGTCTCAATGGGCTAGAGCACATGGCTCTTCCCAGTGGCTGCCCAGGAAGGGACAGTGCCTTGCACAAACACATCCTGGGGCTCTTTAACAGGCGGGAACCCTCCTATGGGAATGACTGGTTAAAAAAAGGTTGTCTGGGAATGGGCTCTGATTCATGCACCAAGTCAGGTAGTCAACTAAATGTGCAGACAGGTCAGCTGGTTTCTTTAGCCACATTTTGCTTTACCCTTCATATTTTTGCAGACGGAAGTGGGCCTTTAAAAGCAAGCCTTCTGGAGCAGAGGGTGACAACACAGAAGGGTTAAACAATTATGTCTTCCCATTCTCCAGAATCAGCACCACCCAGCAACCCTAACATCCCAACTCCATTCATGTTTAGGTGAGGGCGGAGACAGGGTGTGAAATGACCTTATTCTTTCGGTTCCCTGATCTCTGATTGAATGCAAGGCAACCAGAGACCTGGTAGGTACAAGGTGCACCCAAGGTGGCTACAGACTTTGTGTCCGATGCCATAGCAAATGTCACCTTTTGATATAGTGCATCAGGAAAAACCCCCACCTCTCCCAGGGCTCCCCAAATGGTATACCTTCTCAAGGTTGCCTTTCTCTACCTGGACTCCTCTTCAATCTCAGAAATAAATTTCCAAACACCTGTCAGATTTCAGTTGTCCTTCAAGGAAACCTGACCCAGACACCCACAGGCAAATTGCCGCCTTTCTCTCTCCAAGAACCTCCCGCCCCTCCCCCCACCCTATCTAGCCTTGGGGGAGAGGGCTGCCAAAATCAGGGCCAGCCCTACAGAACAAACCTAAAGCCCACTCTGAAAATTCCTTTCCAGAGCCGGTGGCCCCTGGCACAGCCCATCCCTCCGAGGCTCAAACCCACCTATGAAACCACCCCTGGGCTCAGCCTGCCCCCACCTGCTCCACCCAAAGAAATGAACATCCTGCAAATCAGGGTGGAAATACATGCCTCAATGGTCCACAGAGCATATGCATTATGCTATTTTTCAAAGCGCTTACCTTTGACCTGAGTATCGTACTCTGCTATGATCTCCTTATCCTTTTTGAATTTGGCCGGAGACGTCATGTTTTCCTTCTTTCTTCCAAATTCAAATTGTGAATTGATAGATCCACGGGAAAAATCCAACCACCGAAATCAATACCTCCAAGACTGCTTCTCCCAAGAGCAGAAGGGGCCCCCCGCGGTGGTCTCCAGCGCTCCGGGGAGCGCGGGTTGCGGGCTGGGCAGAAGGCTACGGCGGGCACATGCAGACGGTGGGCGCTGGGGCCGGGCGCGGCGGCGGCTGGTTCCTGTGCTAGAGCCGGAGCCGCAGCCTCAGCATTAGCCGGGAGAACTGCAGCGCCCGGAGGCTGGCCTGGGGTCTGACATCAACGACAGAGGCAGGGAGTGGAAGTCCTTCCGCACAACATGGTGTGGGGGGTGTGGGGGGTGCGGGGGTGTGGACGCGCCCAGCTGTGTCCCCGGGAGGGAGTGGGTGCGTAAAAGGGTGCCGGGGAGGGCTGGGCGTGCTTCGCGGTTTTTTGTTGCACAGGCTCGAAGATGCTGCAAATCAAATCCCAAACGGGAGCCGCAGCAGCGCAGACTGGATCGGAAGTCGTTTGCTCCGGTTCACTTGCCTGTAAATGCAGGGAAAAGGGGAGGGGGCGATCAGCCCCAGAGCAGATCCTAATCGCGGCGGGGGTGGGGTAGGGGACGTCGTTCCAAGCCCGGCCTGGGCCCATTCATCTCGGCCAAACACCGCCCGGCCGGCCCACAGAGCCCGGCGCGGCGAGGTGCGGAGGAAGGAAGCTCCCTCCGGATTGTTTTAAGGCTGGAGGAAAACACTTCGGAGCAGCCGCCTGCGCGGGCTTCGGGTGGGGACTGCGGCGGGAACGCGGGGCTCCGGGCGGGGACTGCGGCACCTCGGCGGCCTCCGAGCCCCGCCAGCGCTGGGCAGCCGCCAGCCGAAGGCAGCACTCTCGGCAGTGGCTCCGACGCGGCCCCTGACCCCCGGCCGGGGCAACTCCCTGGACATCAAAAAGGATCAAAGCCAGGGAGGGACAAGCCACCCGGGCACAACTTTTCTTCCCCTCCCGCCCCTCCTCCCAGTTGTTTTGTTTTTGGTTACTAGCTTCTCTTGGCAGCAAAATGTTTCGGGGGGGGGGGGAGACCTGCAGGAAAAAGCCTGCTCGGCACGGGGCACATCCAGGAAAACAATGTGGTCGACAGAAGCAGGAAACGGGTTAGAGGCTAGGGTCGGAGTCGGGAAAACCCGGGGGCGGGGGACGGAAGGCAGCCACCGCCTCCCCCAAGCCAGGGACGAGAGTGACTCTTAAATGCCACCCCCGATATTTTTTGTCACCATTGCCCAGAGATCCCTGATACCGCACCCAGACCCAAGCTGGGGGAGGAGGGGAGGGGGTCGGAAGGGTCGCAGTCCCGACTCCTCGCACCAGGAGGTGCCGGAGGAAATCCCGCCCCGGCCCAGGCCCGGGAGCGGGAGGGAAGCAGCGGGAGCGCAGAGTCGGGAGTCTTGCTCCCCACCGTGCCGCAGCGGCTACCCTCCCTCCTTGGTCGCCCCTTACCCTTTCCTTGTCAGGAGGCGGCGGGGGGACGCGAGGGGGGGCTCCCGCCGGTGTCTCCCACTTCCCGCGCCCGGAGGAAGAGGGAGCCCAGGCGGCGTGGTGGTTCAGGCGGGCAGGAAGCGGGGAGGGGGGTGTGAGGTGGGGTCCAGAGGCTGCACGGGAGCCGGAGTTAACTGGAGCCTCAGCACACGCCTGGGAGGTGGAGAGAGGATACGGGGTGGGGGGGTGAGGAGACTACCGTGGGCCACGATGTTACATGAAGCGTAAGGATGTTAGCAACTTGGGGGACCAGCTACCGGTCTGGGAACCGGGGTGCGTAAAAGGAGCCATTCCAGGCGGGCCGCGGGCTGGGACAGGGCAAGAGCCCCGGAAGCAGTGCGGAAAAACTACCCTTCTGGGTCCTGGGCTGTAACCCGGCTGTCTGCCAGGGCTTGGAGATAGGGGAAGAGGGTAGCCGATGGTTACGGGTGATGCCAGCGACGGTTGCCCAAGGCTGCCCGTGTGCAGAGGACATGGGGAGGGGGCTGGGTGCGGGCTTCGCGGCGGCAGAGTCCCAGGGCAGAGTCCCAGGCTGTGCGGTGAAGGGCAGAGAGAGATGCAGTCCTGAGAAGTATTATGGGCTGTACTAGAAGATTTGGAGAGGGTCGGGGGGGAGGGGGTCTGAGGGATTCCGGGCGGTACCGCTACGCGATGCCGCCAGCAGCATCCGCGCCCTCTCCTTCCCGCCCCTGCCGGGCTTTTTCAGTCAGAGCTCCAGCCCGGCGGCCGAGAAGAGGAAAGGGGAGAGGGAAGGAGCCTTTACCTGGCTCTGACGCGACGGGTCTCGGGCCCCCGGCTCCGCTTCCCACTCTGAGATCTCCTCCCCTCTTCCCCGCCACACGCTTCTACGCAGATCGGTCTCCGAGTCCCCTGAGGAGCCTCCGCCAACTCCGCAGGACCCCGCCGGGAAGGAGAGCCCACCCCCTTACCAATCACCGCTCGTTTTCTATCGACCGATGGGGCCTGTAGCCAATAGGAATAGCTGATCCCGAGAGGACGGGAATGAGAAGGAGGAGCTAGCGAAACTCGGAGGTGTGACTAGCACCACCGAGGCGTGGTCACAGAGTAAGCTCCTCCCAGGGTTGCCGAGCCCTAAAGTAGAATTAATGGGCCGGGTTAAAATGGAACCAACAGCCAAACACAAACTCTTGAGGGAAAGCACGACCAATTGGACCGGGGTAGAGAGGAGGGGCGTTGCGGAGTATTTTAGCCAATAGAGAGTAGAGACCTCGGGACTGTAGAAAGTCTTCCAATAAGAACCGCGAAGGGCGTGCCTTGACGCTTTCACTGGGGCGGGAGTAGGATATGCCCAAAACTCCCGGGGCCGGCCAATGAGAGCGGAGGCGGAGCCAAGCTCGACCAACCATAAAGCTGAGCTGATCACAGCACCGTTACTGAGGCGGGGCGTAGGGTCTCCAAGCCACTAAGGTCTCAGCAGGGGAAGGCTCCGGAGCCTTCCAATGCGGGACGCAGGCGAACTCTAGTTCCCCCAATCGGTGCGCGGCGCCGGCAATTCAAACTGACAGCCGGTTGGAAAGGCAGAGAGAGCGGAAGAGGGAGCAAAAAACGACGCGTTCGGTGACAGAGCCCCAGCGCCGACTGAGCCCCAAAGGCGATCTCTGCCCCGTCCTTCCAACCCCACCGCGCGCTCCGGAGCGGCCGCTCGGAGGGAGACCTAAGGGGACGGCGGGGGGCACGAGGGAGAGCTGAGGGACGGGGAACCGAGAGAAACGGCGCGAGAACCAGCCAGCACGCAGAGGGCTGGGGGCTGCCAGGAGAGAAGTGAAGCGGGGGCTCGCGAGCAAGCAGAGCGGGGGAGGGTCCCGGGAGGACTGAAGAGAACCGGGGTTCGTCCGGGTGGGAAAAACCAAGGGGATTTCTGGACCCTGGGAAGAGGAGAAAGATTTCCAAAGACGAGGCGTGGGTAGGGACGCTTGGCCGGTGATCCGGGCGAGGAGGGGGAGGAATTGGAGAGCTCGGAGGGAGGGGCTTAGGAGAGGAGCTTTCAAGGAAAGACACTGCTGGAGAAAGTTTAGGGAATTGATAAAGGCGCGGGGGCTGAAGAGTAGAGGAGCCTTTTAGACGCGAGGCTGGGGAGCCTACCGTAGAGAAGTTCCCCAGGCCCCTTGCAGCTCGCCGCCCCCCCAACTTCAAACCCCACTCCCTTCCCCGAAAGTTAAAAAGAAAGCCACATATGCTGCTTCGCCCTGCTCCTCCTCAATAAATATTACTTTCACCCTCCCACGGGAAAACAGAAAAGAACTCATTTCCTTCCCTAAAGTTTAGAGCTTAGAAAAGCTCTAGACCTCGCAATTTGATTTTTTTACCTGGGGGAATCAAACTAGGAAAGGGACTGCTCTTGTCTCCTCTTTCAAAATCCCACATCGCATCTTTCCCGGGACGCCATGTCTACCAGCACTTGTAGTTTCAAGGACCGGTGCGTGTCCATCCTGTGTTGCAAATTCTGTAAACAAGTGCTCAGCTCTAGGGGAATGAAGGCTGTTTTGCTGGCTGATACTGAAATAGACCTTTTCTCTACAGACATCCCTCCTACCAAGTAAGTCATGCTAGTGGCGGGCAACAGTAGCCTTTAACTAAATGGGAAAAGTGTATGCTTTGGACCTCTGGGAGTCAACAAGGAGGTTATCATTTTGGTGTTCCAGCCACTCCCAACAGTCTGATGATCCCCTTGGAGTATAACTAAAGTGGGCAGACTGTCTGGACAAAGTCTGTGGTTTAGCCAGAGTGGTCAGTCCTGATGTAATGCTTCTAGTTCAATTATAGTCATGTGACCGCATCCCTGAAGTTGAATCCCTGGCGCTGTGCCCTGCCCAACCATCTCACTGGATCAAGTCCATGACCTAGACCCTAGACTCTAGGTAAAGTCAGGAAAGATTTTCTGTATTGTTAGAGAAAAGAGGTCACTAAATTTTTCATTTTTATCCATGAAGTTTTAGGCCAAAAAATATTCATAATTTTCTGCCATTATTTGCAATTGGCAGGGTGAATCAGATCCATTGTCCATGTAAGTTAGTGTTCTTTTCTCAAAAATCTCTCTCCTAATGAGCGAGAAATAGATGTATGCGATGAAATGGAGACTTAGCCCTGAAACAATCCTTGTCCACTATTTTCAGATACCATGCATTTGTTTGCATAATTAAATCCTCTTAAATTCTGTTTTCAGACACTACCCACTTTTGTAGGTAGAATCCTTAAGAATTTTCTACCAATTTGGAAGACTAGCCATTTTATTTGACTCAAATATACCTTTTCTGGCTCTAAAAGGTAATTTCTCTTTCCATAGTCAGCATATATATGCCCTTACCTAATTTTCAAAATTTAGGTCTTTATCATTAAAGTGAAAGAGATAAAATATGGGTGAACAGCTAGTCTTTGGACACAGAGCCAGAGGAAGCAGGCCAATAATCATAACACTTTAAAATGAACTTTGCGATGATAGAAACTTGAACATTTTAAAAATCTACTCCAAACTGTGAACTCTTCCTTTCTTGAAATCTTTTTCTGAAGTGGTTTAAGTGTAGTCATGCCTAATGGCAAAGCCAACAGCTCTCACTTACTGCAAAGATATTTGGGTTATTATTTTGAGTACCTGTGTGTGTGTGTGTGTGTGTGTGTGTGTGTGTGTGTGTGTGTGTTGCAAAAAGAAAAAGCCCTAGACAATAAATCTAGAACCTACTATTGCACAGGTTCTATGATTTGTTGTCTAGGGCTTTCTCTTTTTTGTAGCGCATCCACGCAGATGCACACATGCACACAAATTTAAAATATTAACCCATTCACCTTTGCAATAGATGTAATAAACAATAAGATGAGGGCTCAGATAGGTGAATTGTTAGAGGTTAGACCAGAGTCTAGAATAGAACCAGATTTTTTCCTATTGTCTATTCTTCCTTGAAGGGGTTATGACAGTGATGCATTAATGTGCTAAAATGTGTATGAATTAATGAACACATAAGATTTTTTAAATGGAAGTTTTGTCGCATTAATGGTAAGCTCACAAGTATTAACTGACTCTTACAAAATATATTATTGTTCTACTTTAGAGTCTCTTTCAGCTCTTTGGGCCTACAAAATTCATGCTAAATCACAACCAAAAGTACACTTAATGGCAAGGATATGAAAAAACTAGAACCCTTGTGCATTATTGGTAGGAACATAGAATGGTTCTGCTGCTATAGAAAATAGCATGGAAGTTCCTAAGAAATTGAAAATAGAATTACCATATGATCCAGGAATCCCAGTTCTGGGTGTGTGTATATATTGGATTGTGTGTTTATATTTAGTTATATATATCCAAAAGAATTCAATGCAGGATTTAAAAGATATATTTGCACACACATGTTCTCAGCAGTATAATTCACAATAACCAAGAGATGGAAACAACACAAATGTAGATTGTTCATCAACAGATGAATGAATAAACAAAATGTGGTATATGCATACAATATAATATTATTCAGCCTTAAAAAGGAAGGCTATCCTGCTGAATGCTACAGCATGGATGGACGTTGAGAACATTATACTAAATGAAATCAGCCAGTCACAAAAAGACAAATACTATGTGCTTTCACTTACATGTGCTGTATAAAATAATCAGATTCATAGACACAGAAAGTAGATGGTGGTTGCTGAGGGCTGAGGGAAATGGGGAGTTGTTTATGGGTATAGAGTTTCAGTTTTGCAATATGAAAATGATCTGGAGATTCATTGCACAACAATGTGAATACACAACACTTCAGAACCGTACACTTACAAAATGGCTAAGTTAGTAAATTTTACATTATATGTGCTTTTTACAACATTTTTTTAAAAAGTACCTTGACTATTTCTGCACATTTCTCTCTCCAGTGCTGTGGACTTCATTGGAAGATGCTATTTCACTGAAATCTGCAAATGTAAACTGAAGGACATCGCATGTTTAAAATGGTAATTTTTTGGCAAGATTCTAGATAGCCCTGCATTTGGAAGATGGATGTTAACACCACAGCACGGAGAAAGGTTCAGTGGGCTGAATCGAGCACTGGTTATAACCCATGCAATGAGCCATTGAAAACCCATTTGTTATTTAGAGTAATTTTTTAAAAGGGTCTTGTGGCACATTTGTATATGATTTTACAATTTTTCAAAGTGCATTGACAAATATCTGCTTTCATTTTCAGAAAAAGGCAACATAGTTTAGGAGGAAAAAACACATAGAGTTATGATCATAAAAAATCAGGTTTGAGCCCTGGCCCTACTCTTACTCTCAATGTGATCTCAAGTAAACTCCTTAAACCTCTGAACCCCTGAACCTCTGTTTCCTTGTTTAATTTATATCTTAAGAAAACACAAACTATCTTCCAACTTAAGAAGATAGAAATTTAATTATCTTTTGTGTTTACTTTATAGAGTGTTATGAATGTTAAAAGGCTTAATAGATTACAAATTATGTCACAGATGAAAACTATTACTATTATCTTTTGAGAGATAGGCAGACTTGAGTATTATTAGTCCCATTTTAGAGAGAAGAAAGCTGAGATTTTTTTTTTTTTTACACTTAGATGGGGTTTGGGTTATAAATTATAATCCTAATATTCAAGTTCTTTTGTGCTAATGACGATTTAAATTCATTCTTTCATTCATTCAAACTGTATATTGAAGTTCTACTATGTGCTAGTCATTGATATGGGGGCTAGAAATATAGCAATAAGTAAGAGAAAGTCACTGGCTTTTAGACATTATATTCTAGTGGGAAGGCAATCAGTAAGATATTTATTTTTTTAAAAGATTTTATTTATTTATTTGATAGAGAGAGACACAGCAGGAGAGGGAACACAAGCAGGGGGAGTGGAAGAGGGAGAAGCAGACTCCCCTGAGCAGGGAGCCTGATGCAGGGCTTGATCCCAGGACCCTGGGATCATGACCTGAGCCAAAGACAGATGCTTAACGACTGAGCCACCCAGGCACCCCATCAGTAAGATATTTAAATAAATAAGATATTGAATAGGGTGTGGGGGATCGCCAGTTGGCTCAGTCAATGGAGCACAGGACTCTAGGTCTCAGGGTTGTGAGTTCAAGCCCCATGTTGGGTGTGGAGCCTACTTTAAATAGATAAAGTTTGGGATGCCTGGCTGGCTTAGTCAGTAAAGCATGCGACTCTTGATCTCAGGGTTGTGAGTTCAAGCCCTGCATTGGGTGTGGAGACTTCTTAAAAAAAAAAAGAAGAAGAAGATATTTAATAGGATGGAAAGTGCTCCAAAGGAAATAATAAATGATAGAGAATAATATAGTTTGGGAGAGCAGGTAAAAGCTCTTTGAGGTAGCATGCTCAGGGAAGCCTTCTCATGAGAAGGTAACATTGAAATTGAATCCAAAAGGATGAAAAGGACCCCAAGGGAAAATGTTCTAGGCAGATGGAACAGCAAGTGCAGAGAACCCAAGGCAAGAAGAAGCTTGACATGTTCAAGGAATAAGAAGATGATGGCCAGCCTGGCTGAGACATTGTGACCATCAGGAGAGAATTGTATGAGTAGATTAGAGATATAGTCAGAACTGTTGTCCAATAGAAATCCACAAGCTGCGTATGTAATTTAAAATCTTCTTTAAAAAATAATAAATGAATAAATAAAATCTTCTAATAACCACATTTTAAAAAGTAAAAAAGAAACAAGTGAAATTAATTTAAGTTGTATATTTTATTTAACCCAGTATAACCAAAATATTGTTCCAACATGTAACCAACATTAAAAACTATTAACACAATATTTTACATTCTATTTTTTATTCTTAGTCTTTGAAATCTTGTGTGTTTTCTATTTACACACACTTCAGTTCAGTCTAGCCAAACTTCAAGTGCTCAATAGCCACATTTTGGATAGCAGAGATCTAGACCTTGGTATGAAGGGGTTTTTTGTTTTGATTTTTGGCCAATGGGAAGTCCCTGAAGGGGTTTTAACAGGGGATCAAAATGATCTTATGTGTCCCTACTAGAATGTTATTTCCATGAGAACAAAGACTTTGTCTACTGTTGGATTCTCAGCACCTAGAACAGTACTTGGCACATAGTAGATGCTCAATAAACATGAGCTGAATGAGTGAATGAATATGGATGATGATTAAAGCCATAGAATTTACTCTTGCAGTAGAGTCTTACAAATAACTGTCAGTCCCGGTCCAAGAACAACTTCCTTTCATTTGTTTGCCTTTCAAGCAGATTATGATTAGAAGACATATTTTAGGTAGGCTGGTACCTTTTACAGTATTTTTTTATAGGGCCTCACAAAAATGACTGACTCCCACATCTCACAGGGAGGAAACAAGCTATAATAAGAATTTTTACAACCCAAGGTATAAGTAGTTCATGTTGTCATTTAAAAAAAGAAAAAGCACTAGCTAAAACATTCCCTGTATATTCACTCTATTTAATAGTGACCACGTAGGGAAAAAAAATCTGTGGAAGAATTAGGTACTTATAATCAGATGGATAATCTTGAAGACAGTAAAAACTTTTGCAACTTTCTCTAGAAGCTATGGATTTGCTTTATTTCTGAATTCCTTCAAAACACCGGGACTAAAATTAGAGCAGCCAGCTTGTGTTTGGTTTACAGGGGCTCATGCTGTCTTCCTACTCTTCCATCTGTTGAAACAGTTTTTAGGTGCTGGCATTGAACTAGAACACAGAAGAACCTAACCTGCTGCAGTCCTGGGCATAGCAAAAACCTTTTTACCCACAGATCTGAGTTGATTTCATGTATTGTATCTGCGCAGCACATCAGTTGTGGGTACTTTACAGAACATATCACAACCCTAGGGCATGGCATTTAGAAGCTAGCTTAAGGAAAATGCACAGAGTAATACTAGCAAAGAAATGGAGAATGTGTTAGTATTGTTTCACTTAACTGAAAGACCATTTTCCCATTTGGCAGTAGCCTATCAAATTTAACATCACCGGAGTAACTCCTATCCCAAAGGTCCTACAGTGGAAGTTGCTAGGAGGAAATGATATCTTCATATGGTCTATTTACCTTAGCACATAAAAATGCTTATATGGCCAGTTATTAGGTGGTATCTAATTATATTTACCTTCTGTCTCAGTGGGAACATTGTAGGTTATCATGTGATCGTTCCATGTTGTTCCTGCCTTCTTTCCTGCAACAATGGACACTTCTGGATGTTTCACAGCCAGGCAGTTTATGATATTAACAGACTAGACTCTACCGGTAAGAAACAACTGACTCAGAAATTTCTCTAACATTTATTTATCAATACCTGAGTGAAACTCTCAATAGATCGTTTTAGGATTCCCTCTGAAACTCTCTTACCTGGGTTGAAAGAGTGAAACTTGAGTCCTTTTATCCCAAACATTCAGTTAGGGAAACTACTAGCCAAAATTCATCACCATTTCTGCTGTTGTCATTATATACAAGAGCCTCAAAGGTGGCTCTTCTTGGTCTTTTTAAATTAATATTTTAGTTGCTCTAAATTGTTGCCTTGATACCTATTATAACTCCAGGGAATTTTGGAGGATTTTAGATTTGATGGTCAATTATGCGTGTGTGTGTGTGTGTGTGTGTGTGTGTGAGTGTGTGTGTGTGTAGGAAAGCAGGGAGGGGAGGCTGGGGCAGTGAGGAGCTGGGAGGGAGGATGGCTAGGTAACCTTTGTACTTGGTGATGTTGCTCCAGGATAAAAACAGACATTTTGACATCTATATTAATAAATTATGATGGAATTTTATTCCAGGGAAATATTTAATACCAGTATGTTGTACTAACTATTTAACATACAACCAATTCTTTAAAGGATATTTACATGATACATTTTATATTGTCTGGAGCCATGCAGTTTTGTTGTAGGACACATGTCTTCTCTGTCTAGTATCTATTTACACAAGAGACCAGGTTGACTTTTAAGGGAGTTTTTTAGTGGGAACAATTTAAACAACTCAACAATCCAGGTTGGCACTAATTCTCTCAGGTTTTTAGATGTATGTTTTAATCTTCTTCAGAACTTAAAATATATTCCTTATATTCCTTTTCTTAAGGGTGATTTGCCTTCACAGACTAAAGATCATGAATTGTAAGCTAGGTCCTCAGGGTCCTCAAACCTGCCAATTATGCATAGGTTTTTATAGACTCTGATTTTTTTTTAAAATCACCTGGCGTTCAATTGTAGCTCTCAACCCATCGTTTGCAGGTCTTAATTTCAGTCTCCAGGATGTTAAGAAGGCCATTTTTGAGGAAGGACTTATCTGAGCTCCCCTGAGATATGAGCTTCTAGCTTGGGCCTCCAGTTTTATATTTGTGTTGATCATGGGACACATTAAAGGAAGTTTCTGCTTTGATACTATTTTTCCTGCTTCACAGAATTCAAAACACAGGGTGGAGATTTTTTCCATTTTGATTTACTTTTTAATATTTGTCAATTTTTCAAAGATAAAAGCCCCGCATTCTTCCATTCACATTGAATCTAATCCATGAGAAACAGATGTATCACAGGATTTCCTTCCTCCCTTCTTAACAGAGAAAGGAAGGTGCTCCTTCTGTCAGATCCAATCTCTTAGTTTATTTTTTCTCCTTTGAACCAATTGTGCCAAGCTACTCATGTCTCTGAGTGTTCACTCCAAGAATATCAAACTTCTCCTTTGTAACCCTAATATTGTGATTTAAAGTAAGACCTTCTAGAGGCTTGGTATAAAACAGGGTTTCTCATGATGTTGGGACTGTCCTTGAATCACCTGAATCAGCAGCATCAAAGGAATAAATACACAAGCTTTATGAAATTCTAGAATGTTTAGACTGAAAGGGCCCCAGGTCTGTGTTCTAGGCTAGGCTTTACACGTCGACCTGATTTCCCGAAACTTTCCTGAGGATGCTTGAGAAACCTCAGTTCAAATTCCCTGGGATTGGCAAATGCCCTCAAAGGCGAATTGACTTCAGCCCTCATTTACCTTTATGGGTTGTAACTATCCCTTAGGTTTTGGCCTAGTAATTCCTTATTATCCTTAGTTCATCAATGCCATATTACCAGAAGCAGAATGCTGTTCATTCTTGGAGGGGAAATATTTTTTATTATAAACAGTGTAAACACACACACACAAAAATTACAGAAAATAATAGGAGAGACATCTGTATCCACCCCCCAGCATGAAATAGGTGCTAACTTCTTGCCTGATTAGATTCTAGTATCTCAACCAAGAGGGTTGATTATTTCCACTGTTTCAGCAATGCAACAGTGCACCTCCTTGTACATATTTCCTTGAGTTCCTGTGCAAAATGGGCAGTTAGGAAGCAATGAGAGATGCGCTCTATCTGCTATATATGTATATATTTGCTGTATACATATTTAATTCACACAACAGAATACAGAAATAAAAAGAAATGGGCTAAAGCTATACATATGGATATAGGTAAGTCTCAAAAAAAATATGTTGGATGAAAAAAGCAAATTAGAAAAGCTACATGTAATGCCACACTACAAAAAATTTAAATACACCCAAAAAATAATATATATTGTCTGCAGTTGCACACATTTGTAGTAAAGGTAGTACATCCATGGTGTACTGGTAGTAGTGGCTATTACCAGTGACTAGATTCAAACCAAATCTCCAAACCCTGGCTCATTCCACTATCTCAGTGTGTGTGGAGTGAGTATCCAGAGTTTACTGAGTCCTCCTTGTGCCCACACTGACAACTGCAGAGCGTGAGATTTGCTTTCCTTGTTGGACTCCATTGGCTCTCCTAGAAGTCAATTAATAATGGTATTTTTCCCAATTTAGTATTTTCAAGTTATAGGATATAGTACGTGCCCAGAATAAACCATCTCATGATCCTCTATCATGTGTATGGTGTTTTACTATATACTATACTGGAGTCTTCAGTATGAAATCTGTCCTTTCATTATGAAGCTTTAGATTGTTGTTTTGTTTATTGTATTGGCAGCTACAACCTGGTCCTAAAGGTCTACCTTCATAGCCCCCAGACTAAAACCCACCTGCAGTTCATATCATAACTGGCTTCAAAACCTTGCTTTCTTTAATCACAAAAAAGCCACCAGCTACTTCCATGCTTGTTGAGGAGATGAGGAGACTTATTTCAAGCCTTTTCCCTGTACCTCCAGAGAGACACTTAATCTAAAATAATCTTGCAAGATCTCCATCCTTAAAAATCATTAAAATAGATTTGAAAATTATCAGTGTAGAGTGATTATGGCATAATATACCTGGGGGCAGGGTTTAAGGAAATGGACCATTGAGATCCTTTGGAGTTCGAAGATTCTAGAATTCAAGCACTTGCTTAAAAGGGCCTAAAAAAATGTTTATGCCTTAGATGAATGATATCAGATAATTTTTATCTATGGTACATTCTTTAATATCTTTTCTCTTTACTGTTAACACTATGGTTTCATATAAGAATGTTAACATATAGGGCGCCTGGGTGGCTCAGTTGGTTAAGTGACTGCCTTCGGCTCAGGTCATGATCCTGGAGTCCTGGGATCGAGTCCCGCATCGGGCTCCCTGCTCAGTAGGGAGTCTGCTTCTCCCTCTGACCCTCTTCCCTCTCGTGCTCTCTCTCTCGAATAAATAAAATCTTAGGGAAAAAAAAAAAGAATGTTAACATATAACGTTTCATATAGCATATTCTGAGTTGTAATAGTAATCAGCACTAAGTAATTTTATGATTTTTCTTTTCAGGTGTAAACTTCCTACTTTGGGGCAACTTGCCAGAGATAGAGGAAAATACAGATGAAGACACATTAGATATCTCAGCAGAGGAGTGTATTCGATGAATGGGAGGGATAATGATATGTATACTATTGAGACTCTTTCCTATGTAAAATACATATTAATGGATTGACTTTAAATGTATTAGTGAGGATTTACTACTGATTTCTCTTTTTGGGGGGGGGAAATGGGACATTTGTTGATTTATTTATTTGCTATCTCAGACTCATTACCTGAATTTAATTTGAGCCATTGTAGTTCTTTTCTTCTACTGATTCCCCTTCCTCCCTCCACCCCCCCACCCAGTAAAGGTGTATTCTTAAATTCAGGTTGGAGAAGATTATTTCATGTGTCACTCAACTACCTCACAATCTTGGGGAAGTTTTCTTACAATGAGATACCAGATACTGTTAATTTTATACTCTTGAATAAAGGGCATTCGTACATATACATGTGTGTATGTCAACCAAGCATATATCCATGCATATTACCATGCATACATATGACAAGCTCAACAGGAAATTAAAGTTTAAGAGGAATTTTTTTTAAAAACCAAGCTGTTAGGTTTCCATAGATACTGGTTATCCTGCGTTATACTGACGAAAACTCCTTAAAATGGAACAAGACTTTGTGAATCAGCAAATAGAATAAGATAAAACTTTAAAATCTATGGAGAAAATCTCTTAATTCCTCAGCACGATGTTAGGTAAATGAATTTGTCACAAAATTATCAATATATACTGTTTAGCAACATTATTTATTTACATTCTTCTAAAGTCATCTGGTTATTGTGTTATGAAAGCAGATCAACTAAACCTCCATCTTTATTCTCTTCTCTAGGACTTTCTCTGTAAATAGCAAATTTTAAATGCATAGTCTCAGTTCCAACCCTTAAATAGAAAAAAACTAAAGAAGTGTTTTGCTTAAGCCATTATACATTATAAAGAGAATTTTGTTTTTGTTTTAAGCTGCATTCAGAGCCACACAGAAATAGGAAACTGGGATGGTGTTGGATTGTGATTTTAGGTACAGCTAAAATCAGTGTATCGCCTTAGTAATACCTCAGCTGTAGGCATTTTATCAATAGTGATACCAAAACAGACTGAGTTGCGGTTCTGTAAATAAAGTTTTGTTGTAAAAATGACCAGCCTTCCTTTAATTTTTTATTGTACCCACTTTTCTTACCCAAAAATGGAAAAGTATAACACACAAGAGCTAACACTTACTGAGTGCTCACCACGTACCAGACACTGTTCTAAACTCTTTACAGATTTAATTCACTTATTCCACACAACAAACCCACAGGGTAGATATTATTATTCCGGGTTCACTGATGACACAGGTGAGGCATAGAGAGGTTAAGCAGCTTGTCCAAGGTCACATAACGGGTCAGAGGTGTGGCCAGATTCAAACTCAGACAGACAGGCTGACTCTCGAGCTCCCGCTCTTGCTCTGTAGGCTGTACCCCACATGTACCTGCAGACATGAGTCAGCTACAATTTTATTTAGCCAGGATGCATGCTGGGTAACAACTGCCTCGTTATGTACCCCAAGAGGGGGCCTCAGTGACTGATTTCAAGGTTGAACAAACTCATAATGGATCATAAGAGAGAAGTGACCTGTGGGCATCAGCAGAATCCTTTGCTGTAAATCAAATCCAACTTCAGGAAATGCTATTACTAGTACCTGGAAAATTTTTCCAAAAGTCTATCACACTGACTGATGATCAGCCCTGGGATGCTGTGGGTGAATATGGACCAAATGTGGAACAGTTTGGTTTTGGATTTGGATTTTTTTTTTCTTTAACCTCTCTTAAAGACTGTTTGGAACAAGGTGGCATAATGAATACGATTAAAAAAATAAATTGATACTACATTATATATGTCTTCAGTTAGCTTGTTCAGACAGAGAAGAAAAGTTGAATACTAGTGGAGAGAAAGTGGCAAGTTTAAAATTCGACAGAGTTCATCTGGTTTCCCCTGAGCTCATGCCTTCAAAGGGGGCTCTTTGAAGAGCAAAAGCAAGACAGGGGTGCACTGATTAAAGTAAACCCCAAATGTGATCCCATTCCAGTTGGAGAATATTTCAAATTATTCAGCTACCTTTTAGCTAACTGGGTCATGAGAAGGTCAATTCTAAGCTACAAATGAATTAATAATGTTTTATCTGAAGAAATATATTCATGACACTGTTTTTTTGACAGTTTCTTAATAAAAGTAAATGACATGCACTCTGATAAGACCAAAGGCAGAATCATGTATGTAGAGTTAGCACATACTTCCTAGTCCCAGCATAATTCGTAGACCTAGAAAATCCCTTTATGCTTTGGCCCTCTTCTAATATTTAATTCAATTCAACAAATCTGTCTTATGCTTGTATGGTGTGCCAAGAATTGAACAATGACAGGCTCACACTTGGCTTCATGGAGAACGCAGTGAGTTGGGGAGAGGATAAACCTGATGAATCTACCTAATACATGGCAGTAAGTGATTTAACAAATACATGCTCAGAGTTCAATGACACCATAGTTGAAAGAACAATCATTCTGAGTAGTAGGAGAGAGTGGAAGTTGAGAAAGCTACAGACAAGAAATGATACTTTCACCAGGCTTCGAAGTACAGTTAGGGGTTTGCCAGCTGGGATGAGAGTCCTGGACAGAGAGAATAGTATAAACAAATGCACTGGGGCTTAAAAGTATCTGGCTTTATTTGGCAAATTATAAGTAGTTCCCTATACCTTCCAAGATATGTGATAAGAATTAATTAGGGGGTGCCTGGGTGGCTCAATCTTGATCTCAGCTCAGGTCTTGATCTCAGGGTAGTGAGTTCAATCCCTGTGTTGGGCTCCACGCTGGGTGTGGAGCCTACTTGAAGGAGAAGAAGCAGCAGCAGAAGGGGGAGGGGGAGGGGAGGGGGAGGAGGGGGGGAGAAGTAATTGGTAGATGAAGCTATAAAGGAAGGTCGAGATGATGTCATGAAGAAGAGTCTATGCCATTGTTCAGTTTAGACTTACTCCAATAGCAAATGTGGAGTGATTAAGGTTTTGAAGCAGGAGAATAAAATGATCAGATTTAGGATGATAGTTGTGAGGATGAAATGCAATCAAGCTTAGTTCTCCTGGTGTCCTTTCTTGGATGTAATTAACAACTAAACCATGGAAATTATATTTATTGCTTTACCCTAAGAACATACACAGATCATTAAGTTCCCTGAAGTTCTTGACTTTCACGGAACATCTGGTCTACAGTGGGACACCGCCTCTTTTTTCCATCTTCATCCTGCCATTCCTGAAGTTCAAGGAAGGGACAGTGAGTCATCAGCTGACCCACTATGGCTTTTTTTTTTTTTGCTCCTTTATCTTTTTCCTCATGTCAGTTTCTCAACCTCAAACTCAGGCTCTGTTGAGACATCTTGGGTGGGGCCTAATCTTAAAGCCATAATATTTTAAATAATCCCTGGCTCTGAAAACCAGGTCTTTAAATATTACTAATCTAGGGAGAGTACCCTACAAAGAATTGCTCTTTTGACCTCTGAGTCACCCATGGCTGATGCAGAATAATCTATATTGTTTTTCTTTCGTGAGGAGGAAGTGACCATAATCTATAAATCATGATGTATGAAAGAACTAACTAATTAGAACATAAGTGGGGAGAGTGGGGAGTGGGGAAAGTGGGAGTGAATATGGCTCAAATAGTCCTGCTTCAATGATAAATTATTTGATGAAGGCTTTCCCTATTTTAACATTCATGCTTATAAAAGGAAATAGTTTCCTTTTCTGCTTTTTTTTTTTTTTTTTTTTTACTTTCAAAGCAGCCTAAACCATAGTTTCTTTCTTGCCTGGTATTGAGCGTATGCCAAATCTACCCTAAACTGCACAGATGGAAAAAATTAGTCTATGTCTGTGGTACCTCTGGGGTTGAATATTTTTAGTACTTACATCTTAGCTAAAGATTCTTTCTTCCAAGACTCTCATAGAATCATTTTATTGTCATCCAATGGGTAAACTCACTGAGATAAAAATTAATAATATCATGTGTTTATATATCCCTTTATAATTTATTGCAAGCTTTCACATACACCTTAATGTAATCCTCAGAATAACTTTGGTAATTATTCCCATTTTACAAATTAAGAAAGAAAATCTTACTCTCAACACCCAGAGAGCTAAAAGAATTTAAACTTGAGGGGCGCCTGGGTGGCTTAGCCGGTTAAGCCTCTGCCTTTTAGATCAGGTCATGATCCCAGGGTCCTGGGATCGAGCCCCACATGGGGCTCCCTGCTCAGTGGGGTGTCTGCTTCTCCCTCTCATTCTGTCCCTCCCCCCTACTTGTGCCCTCCCCACCTCAAATAAATAAAAAATCTTTAAAAAAATTTTTAAATAAAAATAAAATTTAAAAAATTTAAACTTGAATGTGGGTCTTTTAATCTTAGTTTAGGGTTCTTTCCTCCTTCCCTAGCTTATTCTAAACCCAACGTCCACTTTTCCCCTCACTAGCTATAAAACTTAGGACAAAATCTTTTTGACTTTCAGCCTCAAAGCCTAGCTATTGTCATTAATTAATCCATCCACCTAATATTTATTGAGTGCCTACTGTGGGAAAAACAGAAGCTGAGGACACAAAACTAAGTAAGACAAAGCTTCTGCTCTCCTGCGATGCTAACATTCCTTTGAGGAGGACGAAGATAGTGAGGTAACATTTATTGAGGGTTTACTACATGCCAGGAACTGTTCTAAGGGCTTGACATGTAACAACCCTAAGAAGTAAATCCTATTACTCTACTCACCACATGGTTCAGGAAACTGAGGTACAGAGAGGCTAAGGAACTGGCCCAATGTCACACAGCTAGTAACAGACACCACTCAAAGACTTGAAGAGCCAAGAATTAATGAGCTTAATGTTTCCTTTCTGGTCTTCAATGTAGTTGTCTGCCATCCAAAAAAGTCAAGTTTTCCATTAGCAAGCTTCCTGTATACATCTTTCCCTATTAGACCTTAGTTGGTTCTTTTTTCTTTTAATTAAGATGGTAGCAGCTGCATCTCCCTGCTCAGTAAGGGAGACTTGGTG